AGCCCCAGTGCCTTTCTCAGATTGGAGTTAGAACAGTTAATCCTATTCTTCAGAAGCGGCATCCGGCCAAACCTGGAGCCATGCAGTTCACAAACTTTAATAATGACTCCAGCAAAAATTAGCACCAACCCTCTGGGCTGGGCCGTCAGATGTCATACTAACAAGCTCTCTCCACTGTTACCAGCATTGCAGTCATGCTGTTTAACTGTCTTTGTTCAATTTATTTCTCATTAAGCACATTTAAATCATCCCAGGTGCCCACTTACTGTCAGTAGACTATTAGAAGATGCTGTTCTGCCAGGGCTGTCATAATGTTGAGTGCCCTGGGTTCCTCTGGAAATAAGAGAGACTCCCTCCAAGCTGAACTTGGAATCACAGGCATTTGTAGATTTAAACAACATATGCACATACTTGTGTACCTGTGTGCGTGCTCATTCACTAAGTCATGCCTGATTCTTTGCAACGCCAGGGACAATAGCCCACCAGGCTCCTTTGTCTATGGGATTTCCCAAGCAAGAATACAGGAGTGGGTTGCCATTTCCTCTCCAGGGGATCTTCCCGAACCAGAGATCGAACTCTCCTCTCCTGCCCTGGCAAGCAGATCCTTTACCATCTGAGCCACCAGGGAAGCCCATGCAGATACTTAGCAGCCATTTACCTAGAAGCAAAATAATAATCACACAGTGCCTGAGCCACAGCTGACCTCAGCCTGTGGAAGCATGCCCTGGGGTGCCTCGCATAGCACAGATTCTCTTGTCCTCCTGGTCCTCTGCTCCTGGAGGTCAGAGAATCTGAAGCCACAGTGCTGAGGTCACTTTCAGGAATGAACCTCAGACCCAGCTGCCTCATGGGCCCTGAGGCAGAACCAGGAAGACCTTCCCCAGCGAGGTCTGGGCTGGGGAGGCCTGCGCAGTGACTTGCCCTCAACCCTCCTTACCCCGCTTGTTTCCTGCTCATCCTCCAGCTCCCCGGAGTCTTCCGGGATGCCCAGGGCCAGCTCAGGTGTCCTGGCACCCATCCTCTTGCTTCACAGCATTGACCACAGTTTCTACAGTTGAAAATCCTTTTTTTTCAAACTACAGTAACATCCAGACGATGGAATTGCTTTAAAAGAGCATTTTTAATGATCGTATATTTTTAAGTCAAGCCATAATATCAATAAAAAAAAATAATAGGATTGACTGTCTTTCTTTTCCTCCCCATGCTGTCAGAGCCATAAACAGGTACCACGACAGCCCCAAGGCCAAGAGGAGGTTCAGAGGTGGTAAAGCCGGCTGGGATGGGCATTGCCCTTCTGCTCTGGAATCCGTGTGCTCAGGGCTCAGGTGTCTCTGCAGGGCTCCCCAGAACCAAACACTTGGGAAAGAACATGGAGTTACTGTCATGCCTGCTTTCATGTGTTGGGGCTGTGGGCTGACGTGGCCCTTATCTCACCATAAACCCTTCTGTGAGAATCCTGATGCATGAAACCCCAGGAAGGGCTGTTGGAGGGAGGCTACCCTCATTACCATACCACCTCCACCTCTGTTCCAAAGAGGACACACCAGTTAGGACCCTGAGACTAACTGGCGCATTGGTCAGCAGCTCAGCCTCAGGCCGCTCCGCTGCCCTTGGCTCACTGTTCGTCACTCTAGTGACCTCCCACTGCACTGCACCCTCCTGCCCCCAAGCCGGCCGCCTCCACAGCCTTGGTTAGACATACAGCTTTCTTCTCATTCCCAGCCAACATGTCTGATGCTCACAGGAAGACGTGTCACCAGGAAGGAAAGGCCTCTGAGTCACAGCTGTGCGTTTTAGTAACTCTGGCTGCTCTGGGCTTCCTGAGAGCAGTCCGCTTGCCAGGAGGCCTCAGTGAGTCAGTCAGCGGAGGGAAGGAGCGTGACTAACAAGTTGGACCCAGCATGCAGGAACAGGCATCCAGGAGGGGCTGGGTCTCCTCTAAGGTCAAAAGGCCTCAGCCACTAAGGAACCTTCAACAAATGGATGAAGTTGGTCCAGTCTGCATGTGTGAATTTCCCCACCAACGACTTCTCTTCCCTTGGGAATACAGACAAGAAACCAAGGCCACACCACTAAATTCCAGTTTGAAGAGTGTTTGTGCTGATGAAGGAAGAAATAACTGTGCTCTTGAGCAGATTCCAGATATAGGACAATCGTGACATTATTAAACTTGACTTCTTAAGGTAAAATGGTGAATATTTATTTGACACATCAGTTGCTTCCAAAAAATGCCAGTAGCAAAAAATCATTAGGCTAATTTGCTGGCCTACTGCCAAGAGACTATGAAGAGAGGTCCTACCATGGCTTGTACGCAGCTTCCCTCGGCAACTACATGAAGGTCCAGTCTCCCCAGGTACCTGTTATCCCCCCAGCTTCCACAATTAGTATACCTCCTGCCTCCTCTGACCTCATCTCCACCACCCACCACATGCACCCCTTTCTCTGCACCCTTATCAGCCATCCCAGCCCTATCTGCTTTTGTCCTCTCTCCCCTAGTCCACAGTGGTGGAAATGTCTGTCCTCTAAGCCAACTTCTGCCCCAGCCCCACTCCCTCTCAAACGTTCAAGGTCAGCCTTCTTTCCGCCGACCTTTCTCATCCATCCTCCACTGATCCCTGTCTCTCTTCCACAAGCCCACTGGCACACGGGCATCCAATATCTTCAGTCTTTAATTAAAGCTTCCAGGCAACTTTCTCCACTAGCTACTGTCCCAATATTCCGCTCCTTTTCTTAGGAAAACTTCCTAGATGACCTACACACCTCTCTCCACTTCCTTATCTCCAATTCCCGCATCAGATCTGCCCCCTGCAACCTGCATCCCAGTCCTCACTGGACCTGTGCCTGTCAAGGACCTGCAGGGCAACATGAGGCTTTCCTCATCTGGCTACCACGCCATCAACTCAATGGACAGCTGTCTGCTCCGTGTTCGCCAGCAGCGTCTGATGCCACTATACCTCATGATCGCTTAGGTCCCTCATTTCCTTTGTATTTAGTCAGCTTCAACTCCTTCGAAAATACCCCCCCCCGCCACACACACACACCCTGGTTCTCCCACTTCCCCCTGGGCTTATGTCTAAATGTTGAAGCATCTCCAATTAATCAAATCCCTCAATCTCTCCCAATGGACTTCCCCAGTGACTCAACCGGTACAGAATCCACCTGCAATGCAAGAGACACAGGAGACTCAGGTTTCATCCCTGGGTCAGGAAGATTCTCTGGAGGAGGAAATGGAAACCCACTCCATTATTCTTGCCTGGAGAATCCCATGGACAGAGGTCCAGTCGGATGGATTTAAATATTTGTGCTGATGACTGAAATATACATCTCATGCCCCATCACTTAAGTATCCAAATGCCCACTAGATCTCTTCACTGTAGTTCCCAATAGGCATTCAGATTTAATGCCAAACCAGAACCTTTGATTTTCTCCCTTCTCCCTAAAATTTCCTCTCCTCCCATCCTCCCCATCTGAAGAAATGACATTCCCATCTACCCAAAGGCTCAGGCCCAACACCTGGGGCTCCCTCTTGGTTCTGTTCTTTCTCCCATCCCATAGGTTCGATCCCTAATTAGGCATTTCTCTCTGCCTTCAAAATACATCCCCAATCCAGGAACCCTCTTCCCTGATACCTCATTCCAGGCCATAATCATCTATCTTTTTGACCTCTAGATAGCCCTTCTCTACTCCTGCCTTCTGCCCCCTGAAGACCACGCTCAACATAGCAACCACAACTTTTAAAAATCTCCAATCAGGAACTTCCCTGATGGTCCAAGGAAGGGAGCTTGAGTTCAATCCCTGGTCAGGAAACTAGATCCCACATGCTGCAAGTAAGAGTTGGCATGCCACAACTAAGATCCCTCAGTGCAGCCAAATAAATAAATACATTTTTAAAAATAAAAAATAATCTAATCAGTTCAAGTCATTCCTCCTCTGAAAACTCTCGGGGGAAGTTTCTCAGAGTAATCTGGGAAGCTGGGGTTCTGGGCTAGGCCTACGTTTGGCTCAAATAAAACTCTGTTCTTATTATTGATTACTTTCATCAAGAGCACCAAGCAGACCTTCTGGAAGCCACCCTGGTGGGCGGAGCTATTCTCCTTAAGACAGGGAACACGCCCTAAGGGTGACTAACACGCCTCCCTCTGGGTGTGCGGCTGTCACAGCAGGCTACATTTTATCTCCTCACACTGACCGCACCCATAGGCACACACCTACCTTGACACTGTCTCCAGGAAAAATCTCCGTGAAGAGAAGGCAAAGCCCCCAGCTCCCCCTCCTTCCCAGTGAATGGCAAACACTTCAGGAAGAGCTCAAACTAGGGGACTCAGCCAGCTGCACGATGTGCACCCACACTGAGGGCGCTCGGGAAAGCAATATTCCTTAGGACAAACCAGCTTTGTCCACTGGTGGCAAAGGGCGGCCACCATCCCATACTCAGCGTCCCTCCAGCATTAAGGAAATCAAAGCAGAAATGTTTGGAAGGGTAAGTATTGGCAGTTGCATTACCTTGAGAGCATAAGCCATATTCAGCATCTCACAGCATAGCAACCCAGCCAGATCTTGGGTGTTGGTTAGTTGCTAAGTCTGTCCGAGTCTTTCGAGACCCCATGTACAGTAGCCCGTGAGGCTCCTCTGTCCATGCTATTTCCCAGGCAAGAATACTGGAGTGGGTTGCCATTTCCTCCTCCAGGGGATCTTCCTGACCCAGGGATCGAACCCACGTCTCCAGCACTGGCAGGCAGGTTCTTTACCACTGAGCCACAAGGGAAGCCCAGATGTTTGGTAGACACACCAAAATGTTAGTTTTAAAAATCTAAACATATATTGCAGATTTCTACTGTGTTTTATCACTTATTTGAGGTGGGCGGGAGGAGGCAATGGGAGAAGGAAGAGGAGAAGAAAAACTAAAAATGCAAACAAACACAGCACGCCAACAGTCTGCAGCCAATTAGAGGTTAGGAAGGGGTCTGACAGCAAACTGTACAGAGCACGTCTCTCAGTACCTGCAGAGGCTCAGGGTTTGGAGGCCACAGGATGACATTATTCAAGCCAGAGTCCTCTTGCTGAAAGCAAAGTGTCTTGCTGTTAGAAAGGGCCACAGTGAATGGTAATCCTCCCAAGAACCAGAGAGAGACCCTAACTTGCTGGAGGTGCTCCCACCTTGCCCACCGCTACCCAGGGGAAGTTAGACAACAGAAGAAGGACCTGCAGCCCAAGGGTGTCTGAAGGAGGCAAGGACTAGGCAGGACTAGGAAGACCCATCTCTCATCCACTGCACTGGGGATGTTGCTGGTTCTCAATGCCTGCTCCTTAATCTGCGAGGAGAGGTTCGTTCGGACCTGCATCTTTCCCTCCAGGAGTTCACTTGTAAGCAGGATGCAGGCACCTCCAAGTGCATCTTCACAGAGAAAAAGCTTCTGAGAGAGAGGACTGGGAGCAAGAGTGGGATGGGAAAGGGTGTGGAGGCAGAGGAACTAGTTTGGAGGTGCTTGCAGTGACCCAGTTATGAGGATATAGAGTTGTGATGACGGGAATGAAGAGGAAAAAAGTTGTTAGAAGGCAGGACTTCTAACACATATTATATGGATGTATGATATACATCATATGTATGTGTATGATGTACATGTATATCCATGAGTGTATACATCTATATCCATGTGTATTCTAACACATGCTACATTTTTTGTCTTTTGCAAAAGTGCTCTAAGCTACACTGATGGGACTGTCATTGCCCTGGAGCCACCTTTCCCCATCAGGCATGGGGACATGACTCGGGCTGTCCCACATTCCAGGACACAGCCACTGATCCCAGCCAGAGAGGGCACGTGACAGATCAGGGCCCATCAGATTCCTTAGAGGAAGCTGATCAGAGGCTGGACCATTAGCTGGAAAAAGCATGGAGCTGCCTATAGGGCTGGGGGCACCTCCCTGAGGACTAGGACGTCAGAGAGGAAAGCAGAGCAAAATCCAGAGAGAAGGGATCTCCAGCGACATCTTTTGAACCCCAGCGACTACTGCAGCCAGACCTTCTCCGAGGACCTCTCAGTTCTTTAGGACAGATGAGCCCCTTCTCTGCTTGTGGCTGCTGGAGATGGGCTTCTGTCTCTCATAACCAAAAGCAGTCCTGATTAAACAGAAATTTGGAAAACTAAATGACCAGTCCACTAGTCAATCAGTCAATCACAGGGCGATGTATTAAAGGCAGAGGATGGGAACAGGTGGAGTTAGAGGTGATTCCTGTTTGTCTTGAATGGTAGGATAGGTCATGGTACCCAAGAGAGAGAGTGCAGAGGGGAGGATCAGGGAAGGAAGCCGAGTTCAGGTTTGAAGAGCTCGGGGTGACTGTGAGTCATCCACGCAGAGACATCCAGGAGGTGGTAAAAGATGGGACTGGAGTTTCTGCCCCATGGGGGACCCTGAGCTCTGAAGCCAAATGTACTTGTGCTTAATTTCCATTTGTTTCTCCCAGGAAGGCAAGCCTTGTTCTAATCCTGGAGTCCTAAAGGCAACCCATGATGCCCCATTGGGTCACACTTGGCTGAGGCTGGAAATGTAAAAAATTGTGATTCCAGGAAAACATCTTCTGTCTGCTCCAGGAAGGTGGGCCGTGGGGAGGGAGCCTGGGGTTGGGAGCTGGCAGGAGATGAGGAGTGTGGGTGAGAGTCTTTAAACCGCTGAGCATTTTTACCCCTAATCAATAACAATTTAAGACGCTAAAATAGTCACTGCTTGCAGGAATATAGTGAGATGGGCCCTCACAGCTTGTTGAGAAACATATAAATTGTCACCACCTTTCTAGAAAGCACTTTGTATAGAGATACAGCTATAGATATAGCTATTAATATATAGTAAGAATCTTTCAAAAATACCCTCCATTTGTTGCACCAGTTCCATTTCTATGTATCTATTCGAAATAAACCAGCCTTCAATTCTGGACAGTGAGGTTTAGTATAGGTAATGGAGAGAAAACATAAGCTACTTTAACTGTGTCTATATTCAGGTAGAAATTCCTCTCAGCTTAGGGAAGATACCAAAAGCACTATCTATAAAAAGAAAAGCTGATCTATTGTACCTCCTAAAAGCTTCTCTGTAAAAGAACTTGGTAAGAGGATGAAAAGATAAGCTACCAATGGAGAAAATACTTGCAAACCACAATTTGAAAAAGGATCAGTATCTAGACATTATAAAACTTCTCAAAACTCCACAGTAAGAAAAATCCAGTTAGAAAATGGGCAAAAGACACAGATATTTCACCAAAGTGAATAAACAGATGGCAGTAAGCATGTAAAAGATGTTCAACATCATCAGTCATCAGGGAAATGCACATTAAAAGCATAATGAGATATCACAACAGACACATCAGAACGTCAACACCAAACAGTGACAATACCAATTGATGGCCAGAATGCAGAGAAACTGGCTCATTCATACACTGCTGGTGGGAATGTAAAGTGATTCAGGGATTCTAGCAGATGGTTTGGTGGTTCCTTATAAAACTATACATGCAATTACCACATGACCAAGCAGCTGCACTCTTGGGCTTTATGTCCGAGAAATGAAAACATGTTCACCAAAAAAAACCTGTCTACAAATGTCCATAACAGCTACTATTTAGTAGTAGCCCCAAACTGGAAACAACCCAGATGTCCTTCACGAAATGATGGTTCAACAGACTGTAGCAGGGAATGCTACCCATCAATAAAAAAGAATGAACTACTGACATACACAGCAATCTGGATGAATCTCCAGGAAATCATGCTGAGTGGAAAAAGCCAATTCCAGAAGGTCACCTACTGTATGATTCCTCTTATGTAACATGGTATAACATTCTCCAGCTCATCTCTATAGAGATGGAGAACAAATTAGAAATTGCCAGGGGTTAGGAATAGGGCCCCAAGGGAGGTGGGTGTGGCTTTAAGGGCAACAGAAGAAATTCTGCCTCTGGAAATATTCTGTATCTAGATGGTGGCAATGTCAGTATCTGGGTTGTGATTCTATATTCTAGTTTTGTAAAACATTGCCCTTGGGGTAAACTAGGTAAAGGGTACCTGGGATCTCTCTGTATTACTTCTTTTTAAAAAAAATTTTTTTTTAAGATTTTTTTTTTTTTGATATGGAACTCTTTTTTTAAAGTCGTTATTGAATTTGTCACAATATTGTTTCTGCTTTCTGTTTTGGTTTTTTGGTCACCAGGCATGTGGGATCTTGGCTCCTCAACCAAGGATCAAACATGTACCCCCTGCATTGGAAGGCGGAGTCTTAACCACTGGACCACTAGGGAAGAATCTCTTTTTATTATATCTTCCAATGCCATGTCAATCCACCACTCTCTCAACAATAACTCCAGCAGAGGTTGCCAAGTGGGAATGTGGGCCCAGTGTTACAAGACCTTCCTCTCTTTTAGACAATCTAACAGAAGCCCCTGTTTGTTACAATCCCCACCTCTCCTTATTACCCGCCTCTAGCCATTTAACACCATCACTGTTTCTTCTCTGCCCCTAAAGATTGAAGTTGGCCACCTTTTCTTTTCTTGTCATTTACTTTTTTACGGATTTCCCTGGTGATCCAGTGCCTGAGACTCTGTGCTCCCAATTCAGGGGGTCCGGTTTCAATTCCTGTTCCAGGAACTAGATCCCACTAGGAGTTAACACGCCCAACTAAGAGTAGGCATGTCACAACTAAAGATCTTGTGCATCACAACTGGGACCCAGAACAGACAGGCAAGTAAATAAATATTATCTTTTTACCTTTTTTTTTTTTAGCCGCACTGTGTACTGCTTAAAGGAACGCAGTTCCCAAACCAGGGACTGAACCCAGGCCATAGCAGTGAAAGCCCAGAATCCTAACCACTAGGTCAACAGGAAACTCCCTACCTTTTCTTTTGATGATTCCTGTTTTCCTGCTTGAGAAAAGATAGTAGGGAAGGGAAAAAGCTAAGGGAAAATGAATTGCCCAAGATCGGCTTTTAGGTCCGGTTTTCTCATCCAAAAAACTCTGTACTATTAATCCAAGATTTCCATTGTGTGTCAGATCAATAGGAAAGTGTTTCCCTAATTTTGCTCACCAGGGCATTGAATTACAACTCTCAAACTTAAGATAAAATCTGTATTTATTTTAATATCCCAATATTACACACAATTAAGCAAAGTCTATTCCTCAATTTTGAAAACCTTACCTAACATGGAAATGATAGTTCACGTTTAATGTCCTCAACGTTGATAGATTTTAAAACGACTTTTCCCAGACCATAAGTTTGTGGCTTTTGGGGGGGGTGGGGGCGCTGGGGAGGCTGTGGTAGGGAAGTGTGGAAATGGTTTTATTTCTAACCTCTGATATATCCATGTAGGTTAGTGGATGGGGGAGGGGCAAAATCCGGGGAGGGGGGGAAATGTGCCAAACTCTCCTATGTCAATCTTAAAAGCATAGAAGAAGAAGTAAAACTAGTTTTTATATAATTTGTAAAATCAGGGCTAGACTTACTACAAAGGGCTTCCGTGGTAGCTCAGATGGTAAAGAACCTGCCCGCAGTACGGGAGGCCCAGGTCCGATGCTTGGGTTGGGAAGGTCCCCTGGAGAAGGAAGTGGCAACCCTCCAGCATTCTTGCCTGGAAAATCCCATGGACAGAGGAGCTTGAGGGGCTACAGTCCATGGGGCCACAAAGAATCGGACACGACTGAGCTGACTGAGCGACTAACATACACTTAATACGAACACTTCTGAAAATGGAATAAGAGCACCTACAGGGATACAGAGAGGAGAGGAGATGCTGAAGAGTTCAGTCAGTGCTGCTCAGGAGCCCCGTGCAGGTCAAGGGGAGGCCCCGTGACACCCACCTGGTTGCCTGCGGTGCTGTTCTCGTTGCCCATGACGCCTCGGGGTGCTCAGCGTCCCTCCGGGTCTTACCAGTGCCGACTGGAAGAAACGAAAGGGTATGTGCATTCGTAAAAGTGAAGACGGTCTGGGGCTTCTCTGCCTACTCATCTCCCCGAACTTAAAAACCAGATGATGGGGAGTGTTTATCTCGAGAGTCACATCATGGAAAACTGCTTTTGAAGGGTTTTGCTTTGCGAAGTGCCACCCAGCCGTCTTTCCCAGCACAGGCTGGTGGTTAACTCCCACCCACGGTTGGCAGACGCTTCTGAAAGACGAGTTTGTTACTGAGTCTCTGACTTAACGCCAATGTACACATATACGGATATATACAAACGGAGCGACAAAAAGGGCTGGTTTGCCAAGGAGAGCATGAGGCATGCCACTGTCAGAGCGTTTTCTGTTTCCAATTGTGTTTGGTTTGGAAATCCAGAGCGTGGCTGGGGTCCCACCGTCGGGGACAGCAGAGCTGGGTGTCTAACATTAGCAGGCGTGAAATCCACTGCTCCTCGGGAACATGTGGTATTGATATTTTTTACTCTAAACACTTGTTTCGGCAAATCAGTTTCACTTCTGCACATATTTCTCTGAAGGCAGCATGGTCTTCTTGCTGAGGGAAATGGGTTGTTGTAGCCAGACAGTGAATAAATAATCATGTAAGGCGGCTTGCTGCCCAGACACCCAGAGTCACTGCATCGGGCTCACTTGATGACACTGCTTATTAATCATCATTGTAATGAAGGTGCTTCCCACACAGCCCACGGAGAAACCCAGTATGTCTGCTGGCATCACCCAACAGAATTCCAGCTCTGAGACCCCATAACAGAAGCAGGAGTGGGACTATCTGTTCACTTTTCCAGGTGGAGAAACCAAGTTACAGAAAGCTTTTAAAATTACAGACTTTTCAATTACATGCACCCCTGTGTTCATAGCAGCACTATTCACAATAGCCAAGCCATGGAAGCAACCTAAGTGTCCACTGACAGATGAATGGATAAAGAAGATGTGGTACTTTATACACACTGGAATACTACTCAGTCATAAAAAAAGAATAAAATAACGCCATTGGCAGCAATATGGCTACCAGGTAAGCTTTTATATATAGAACAGATAAACAACAATGTCCTACTATATAGCACAGAGACCTATATTCAATACCTATGATAAATCATAATGGAAAATAATATTCTAAAAGAGAATGTGTATATGTATGTATTGGCTTCCCTGGTGGCTCAGTGGTAAACAATCTGCCTGCCAATGCGGGTGATGTGGGTTCATTCCCTGGGTTGGGAAGATCCCCTGGAGAAGAAAATGGCAACCCATCCCAGTATTCTTGCCTTGAAAATCCCATGGACAGAAGAGCCTAGCAGACTACAGTCCATGGGGTACAAAAGAGACGGGTAGACACAATTTAGCGACTAAACAACAACAACATATATATATATGTGTGTGTGTGTGTGTGTGTGTGTATAACTGAATCATTTGGCTATGCAGCAGTAACACAACATTGTATTTTTTTAATAAAATAAATGCCTTTTTAAAAAAAATTTTGTTTTTATTTTTGGCTGCACCGTGTGGCATGCAGGATCCTACTTCCTCAACCAGTGATCAAACATTGGGAGCATCGAGTCTCAATCACTGGACCGCCCAGGGAAGCCCCATCATATCATTGTATTAAAGCAACTATACTTCAGTAAATAAATAAATTAAATTACAGACTTTTTGAGCTGGAGCCTTAGAGATCACCAATTTAATCAAGTGGGAAAACAGGCTGCAGAGAAGGCCAGGCATTTGCCAAAGACCCAGCTGGAGAAGCCAAAGCTGGAAACAGACCCCAGTCTCCTTCCTTCTGATTCAAGATTTCTTCCATGGCAGGATGGCTGTCATCATAGCATTTCCTCAGAAAACTTCAGCGATGGACTTACTCAAAATAAAACATGTCTGTTGATTTGCTTAGCCATTCAACCAACATTGAGTGAGTAGCTACCACATACTATGTGTAATTAACAGTCCCAGGAAAATAAAATATAAATTTTTTAATAAGTCCAGTTAAAAAGCCCTCAAGAGAATGGATACATGTATAGGCATGGCTGAGTCCCTTTACTGTCCACCTGAAACTATCACAGCATTGTTAACTGGTTATACTCCAACATAAAACGCTTTTTAAAAATTAAATAAATAAAATGCCCCCAACAGAGAAAATTATGAGTGGCATCACTGTAATGATCAACTCTCTCCCTCCTAACTCTCTAATGAAAAAGTTGCAATTGCTCAATCCTTTTTTGCCATTTGCTGTTTATAAGATGGACCAAAAAAAGGAAGCATATGCTCACTTATAGAATGTAAAATGTTCATTTATTTAAAATCAATCACTTCAGTTTATTTTTTCTGTTCATCTGCAACATGATGCCTCCTTAGGAAACAATGGTGAGTGTTACAATCACTGTGCCCTTCTCCATTAAAGTAACTTCCTTGTATCTGTCAGGCTGAACCACTGCGCAGCTAGAATGATTCGATGCAATATTAATTTTTCAAACTCAATCACCAAATAAAATTCAATAAATTTCCTTAAGAATCAGAACATCTAAATTAGGTTTCACTTTTTAAAATTTTTATTGGAGTACAATTGCTTTACAATGTTGTGTGAGTTTCTACCCTACAGCAAAGTGGATCAGCTCAGTGTATTCATTTATCCCCTCTTCTTTAGATTTCCTTCCTCTGCAGGTCATTACTGCAGAGGATCTGTAATAGGATCTCATTACTTATCTGTTGAACTAGGTTTTTTAAACTAGCTTTTAAAACTGCCTCTGGCTCGGTGTAAATTTCAAAACCTCCTGGAAGGAAGCCTGACTGTGTCTGGAACTCTCTCCCAGTGACCTCTAGAACTGCCCTGCGTTAGGCTTCCCTAACACCAGGGGGGGAGGTACCACTCTGCCATCTACTTACGGTCGGGGATAGTCTGTTGACTTTGGAGGCCGAGGCCCACGGAAAGTCTGCGTTTCAGCAACTGGACTTTCTCTTCCTCCATTCAGAAGCGGGCGAGGTCTAAGCAGAGGCGCTGACCCACCTCAAGCCGTCGGGCAAGCAGCCCAAACAGTCTCCACCCACGACGCTGACACAAACCAGCTGCACCCCATACCTGGGCAGAGCCTGCGAGTCATGCGGTGAATACACAGACATCAGCATTTCCCAGCCCATTGAGGCTGGCCTTTCACGCGGAGGATTTTCCCCGTTTGTACATAAGCTGGGCTCTTTTCAGCAAAGGCTTATCCAAACCAACAGTGGCCCCTGTGATCTGATTGGCCGCACCTAGGGGAGCAGGACTGCCCTGCCCCGGAGCAGGGGCACCATGAGTCACTCGCGCCCTTACGGTTTAGCGAGGGGGACAAAACTTTCCTTCTAGAAAATGCTCCAAGGGCTTCCTGCTTGCACCTGGGAAAATTCCACCGTAAATACCGTGGAAAGACAAAGAAAACTTGTGGAAACAGGATGACGCCAGCAGTCTGGCACCTGTTTATAGTGTGATGCGTGCAGAATGTAGTTAGCCAGGCGTGGCTTGAGTTTCACCAAGTGAAGTTGTAAAAAGCCCAGACTGCGGGTAGGCAGACCTGTCCGCCCAAGATGAAGGAGGCTCTGCAGCCCGAGGGTGGGGCTGGAGATGGGCGGGCGCCCGAAGACCCTTGTGTCAGGCAGCTTCCTTCCTCCCCCAGATTCCAGTGATTAACAATCAGCCACTTATTTGCATGAATGAAGCCAATTTTAACATATATGCATATTATTTTTTGTGGTGGCAGACTTTCATTCATTCTGCAGAAAACCCTTACTTGTGTCTCCACTGTGACTCCTCCAGGGAAACAAGTCAGCATTTCATCAAAGGTCTCCTGGAGACCAGGTGTCACCAAGCTCAGAGGAGTGTCAGGACCTCCTTGAAGGGGAAAGTTGGATGTGGAAGGGGATCTCAGGGCCCCAGTGCTGGTTCAAACAGAGCCGAAGTGTGTATGTTTCAGCAGGCAATGGATAAGCAAGTTGAGATCTATTCATACAGTGGAATATTTATTCAGCCATAAAAAGGAATGAAATTCTGACACATGCTATAACTTGGACAAACCTTGAAAGTACTATGTTAAATGAAAGCAGCCAGACACAAAAGGTCACATATTACATGATTTTATTGACATGAAATATCCAGAATATGTAAATCCAGAGAGGCAGATACCAACATTGTGAAGGTGTCAAATACCACTTAATTGCTCACTTTAAAATGGTTAATCCATTTGCAGCAACATGGATGGACCTAGAGATTATCATACTAAGTGAAGTCAGACAGACAGGGACATACATATGATATCACTTATATGTGGAATCTAATAAAAATGATACCAAGAAACTTTTTATAAAACAGAGATAGGGACTTCCCTGGAGGTCCAGTGGTTAAGATGCTGTACTTCCATTGCAGGGGTGGTGGGCAGGGTTCGATCCCTGATCAGGGAACTAAGATTCCACATGCTGTGCAGATTAATGTATGCACACTACTGTATATAAAATAGATAACTAATAAGGAACTACTGTATAGCACAGGGAACTCTATTTAGTATTCTGTAACAACCTATATGGGAACAGAATCTGAAAAGAATGGGTAACTCACTTCACTGTACACCTTAAATTAACACAACATTGTGAATCAACCACATCTAATAAAAATAAAATGGTTAATTTTGTGTCATGTGAATTTCACCTCAGTTTTTAAAAGTGAATGTGTTTCATATCTTGAGATTCTGCATAAGCTATTGCTTGAAATAAAATAAATCTACTACTGGGGAAAATTTTGCAAATGACTGGTTTTGGGTTTATTAATACTAGAGTTCCATAAACTTGAGATTTCAAGGGATAAAAAACAAGAACATTGGCCTACCCTCATCCCCCACTCCCATCAAAAAAATCAAAAGAGAATTCTTCTAGGGAAGAGAAACTTTTTAAGCAAAATATCTTAAATGAG